GTACAGGGCAAGCCTGAGCCAGCCCTAACTAGCTTATAAGCTTATAAGCCTAACTAATAAGCTTTATCAAAGAGGAAAGTCTTAAGTCTAGTCTTAAATGTGGAGACGGTGTCTGCCTCCCGGACCGTAACAGGAAGATGATTCCACAGGAGAGGAGCCTGATAGCTGAAGGCTCTGGCTCCTGATCTACTTTTGGAGACTTTAGGGACCACTAGTAACCCTGCGTTCTCAGAGCGCAGTGTTCTGGTGGGATAATATGGCACTATGAGCTCTCTAAGATATGACGGAGCTTGACCATTTAGAGCTTTATAAGTTAACAGTAGGATTTTAAATTCAATTCTGGATTTTACAGGGAGCCAGTGCAGAGAAGCTAAAACAGGAGAAATATGATCTCGTTTCTTAGTTCCTGTTAGTAAATGTGCTGCTGCATTCTGAATTGTCTGTAGTTTTTTGACAGGCAGCTTGAGGACGAGACAGAGTTGATGACCTTTTAACTTTTTTTTTCCCTCTCCTGTCAAAAATGTGCTTTGCTTGTTGTCACTTCACTTTGATGTTTACAACGTATTCTCAAAGAGCAGCTTGTATGATATTCTACAAAAGAACAAAAAAAAATGTTTTGATCCATCCACCACCCCAACCTGCCTCTTCACAAGCTCTTGTGACTGCTTCCTTCTTTGCTGCCGTCAGGATATTAGTCACATGATCGCAGCCTTTCAAAATACATGGGATATGTTTTGGGCGCATTGTTTTTTGTAGGAAAACATATGAAAGGTGGTAGCGCTGGTCCTCCACCAATCATAAGATCAGCGGCTCTATCCCTGGCTCCCAAAGTCCGCATGTCAAAGTACCCCTGGACATGATACTGAACCCCAAGTTGCTAAGTGTACCATTAGTGTGTGCCTGTATTTAAAGCCACAGTGTGTAGTAAATTTCTCCCATCTGACGTTGAAATCATATACTGCATTCAAACGGATAGCGCACTCTAGCGCCTCACTGTTTCAAACAGGAATTGCAACAACGGTAGCCGCCGTGTACCAAAAAGCTATGATAACACTGATGAAACCATGTCATCCGATACTTCATGGGGTATTCATTCAGGCTCCTACACAGACACATGCGACACGAGTTGACAAACCCCCTCCTCACCATGCTGGCTGTGTTTACAACGTGGGACTGTTGGGACCTCATCCTTCTCCTCGCATCACTGCGTCGCTAACAGCTGCTAACAGCTAACAGCGCCACTAATGGCCGCTGTTAGCTGTTAGCTGTTAGCCGTTAGCAACTGTTAGCTGTTAGCGCTGTTAGCTGTGATTGCATTACCTTTCTCCTTCAGGAGCTCTCTCCACCTGGGAAAGGCTACCCCTCGTATTTTGAATTTGCCGGTCACGTTGCCTTTTTGATTTCTTTCTGCACTGTCTTGGCGACAAGGATTCCATCTCCTGTGATGCTGCATATTCATGATCCTGCATTATGCTCAAAGAGTGAGACTTTGTTATGCTGCAGTAGTGCCAGGGTAGTAGCAAAGTGCCTCTTGCTCCTCTCCTTCGGCTTCTCAGTCGCGCAGCACTGGCCTGGCTCTCAACGAAAACGCCAAAGGCGAGGCTGTATGTCACTTGGTGGCAGATGTATTCTCAAGATGGTGAAACATTATGGAACCCCCCGGACAACTTACCCGCACAATGTACAAACAAATCTGAAATTCTCCTTTTACGAGAATAAGTCAGATTATTGGTGGAGGTATTTGTACACCAATGATGACATATTTATGAATGCAGACATTGATTTTTGCCAATAAACTGAAAATGTTACACAATGTCCCTTTAAGCTGAGTAGCAGGTGGCACCTTGTATGGTAGCCTTGGCCACCTGTGTGTGTGAATGGGTTAAAGTGACAATTAGCGTTAAAGCGCTTTGAATGTTCGGAAGACTAGAAAGGCACTATACAAGTTCAGGTCCATTTACCATTTACTAACGGAGCCACTAGTGTCTCTTAGGCCATTTGCAGTTTTGCTAGGCAGCTGTTCAGAGGAGCCCATGGCTGCTGATTGTTAGGACAAGGTTTCAGGAGTCAGAATATTTATAAAGCTCTGAAATTTGGATCATCTGGCCTTTCCTAATGATGACTGTGAACAAACCATGCCCCTAACAAGCTAATTATGGTCTGAAACCCTTTTAAATGTTGTCTGAGAGCTCAAATGTCTTGGGGTGCCCAAACTTTTATATGGTGCTCCTTTCCTTTTTTGTACAAAACAAAAATAATACACTGATCTTGCCTAAAATGCTAAAAAGCATCTTTCATCTTTAACTTCATGCCTCTTGGAGATCAGTTCATCTACCACTTACTTAACTATTCATAGTAAATGAAATTTTGACCAGGGGTGCCCAAACTTTTGCCACTGTATCAGTCACAGGCATTTATATTATATAGTTAGATTCGGTGGAAAAGAGTGGAACAGCAAACACTGCTGGTATTAGCATATCTGCATGAAAAAAACAAGTGCTGTGTCTAAACTTTAACCTTAAAAAAAGAAAGGTCTTTCAATTATTAGTAGTTTGAAATTGTGGAAACTGTGGTAAACTAGCACAATAAGGAAAAAAATAAGTGTTATATCATCAAGAGACATTTGAATTTCTGTGGTGAGAATAGGGGAGCATTCATTCAACAGCGTGTTTAAATCATGCCAATGTGTACATGTTTTTTTTTTTTTTATAAATAATGCATTTATAATAATGAAGAACTTCTGCAGCCAAACTGTACCCAGGTATGATTATTTTGATCCACTTAAAATATACTATCATACTTTAAAATCATCTCTAATGTCAGATTTGGAGGTCTTCTCACATACATTAAGTGGATGAGGAAAAAACAAAAGCAGAAGACAAAATCATAATGAAGCCCTTCCAGTAATGAGAGCTAATTCCCTAAAACCCTGCCGCTGCCTTTAGATAAGATGGAGAATCTGAAGAGAGAGAGACTAGCTGGCCCAATTAAATTGGTCTAATTACTGAAAGGGCAGCAGGGGGCTGTTTGACTCTGGTTCAGGCTGTAGACATAGCCCAGAGACTTTATTGTTGTTTCAGATCAGCCTGTGGGAAAGTGGAAGATGTTGAGCAGTTGAAAAGAGATTGAGAGGCCTTCTTCCTGCTTTATCAGTCTCACACTAATGACTGAATGACTGAATTCCTTTTCAAAATCTGGAGGACATATTTGTGACATTTCCTGTGGTCAGTAGATGTTCATGATACATCTTGTATTTTACGAAGAGGATTTTACCGTTAAATAAATATATTATGTCTAATGAACAAGACAGTTATGTATTTCAGGACATAATTTAACAAAAAAACAGCATAGAGTTTTTGATCAAATTTTGCTTATATTGTCATTGCTGTTGCTCATCTTCTTCTGCTCAGTTTAATGGTATTCAAGTTCTTAAAATTCAATTCACAGTATCATTGCAGTGGAAAATTATGTCATGAAATCTTATAAAGAATGGATAAGGAAATTCCTAGCACATTCTCAGCCTGACCTTGTCACATATTGATGTTTGGTCATGGACTTCCTACATAGAGAGATGACGTGCAAGGTACCCTGGGTGCATTGGTTGTTGATATTTTAGGGACGTTGTGTCAACTTCAGCCTATTACATGCATTGTCTGTTTTCAAAATACACTCAACTAGTCCATACCCATTGGTAGCTTTGTCACCTTCTACCTATGCCAATCCTCAATGCTTATGTGCAGTTTCACATAGATTGACCACGTCAGTGAGTAGAAAAAAATGGGACAGACAGAATGACTGACTGACAGAATGACACACTGACAGTTTCCGTGATTATGTACAGTACAGTACAGTATACCATACCATGACTTAGTCATACCAAAACTAAATAAATTCGGCCACAGGGGGAGCCACAGCAATCGGTCAGTAGCCATTTGTAAGCATTTTTCTGTTGTTATAGCGCCACCCACTTGCCAATTAGAGTTAAATTTCTCCAGTCACCTTGAGGCGTCCTGTTCTACATATCTACCAAGTTTAGTAAAAATCGATATGGCGGTTAGGCCTAGATAAGAAATTAGCTCTCTAGCGCCCCCATTTTGTTTGATGGGGTCAAAAATGGAGGGGTCCCTATGACCTCGGAGTGAGACTGGGTTGGAAAAGCATAGCTGTGCCCAACCATCAGGTAAAATTACACACAATACCTACAAATAAATACAATGATTTACCAAAGGACCAGTAAAGTGAGAAGCGCTGGCATCTTTTGATCCTGAGGTTGTGTTTTAGCTGGGTCTGTGAGCATGCATTAACAGTTCATAGTTAGCTTGTGCTCTTTTGGGGCCTCCAGTTTCCACAGAGGTTTCCCTCTCTCTCTCTTTTTTTCGGCCCAGTCAGTCTCCCTCTGCAAAAGTTCTTCTTCTCTACACTCTGGTTTCTGAAGGTATCCTTTTGTCTCCACAGTGAACAGCATTTTGTTGTCACTGTCATAATCACTCAGGTTTTTTATTTTCTTGTATTTGTTGTCTCTTCCATTAACCACTGAAAGTCTGACCTGAACAGCTGACCTGCGGTGTAATACAGTGCAGAGCTGCATCTAACCACCTCAATCCTGTTTGCTCTCATGCACTCATTTCACCTGCTTATTTACCACTGCTGTCACTGCCATCAGCAACAACAAGGGAATCTTCCACCCAAATGTTTAACATTATGTGCATTATATTACATTCAGTGCAGTATGTTTGTAATGGGAAAGCCAACCACTTATTACTGTCAGAGAGACCAGATGCTTTCTATGGACTAGAGTGTGATCACAGCATTCTCACCTGTCCAGATGAACTGTACCAAGTGCGAAACGCTTCTGAGTTCCAAACTAAAAATCGCAGGTGTGAAAGCGTCCTCAGCTGTCAACTCATGATGGCGTTCTGTGTTTGTGCCTGGATCCGTATGTGCTCATCCTTGTGTTTTTATTTACAATTCAATGTTTTGTGTTCCCCTGTCTCTCTCAGATGGATACACCACTGATGACATTGAATTCTACTGGCAGGGAGGAAGCAACACAGGCTCAGTCACTGGGGTGGAGAACATCGAACTGCCCCAGTTCTCCATCATAGACTACCAAACCCTCTCCAAGAAAGCTGTGTTTGCCACAGGTAAGAGAGTCATACAGTGTCAGGTCAACCCTTTTGACCTGTGAAGTTTCATCAAAAAAAAAAGAAAAAAAAAAAAAAGAGAGAGAATCTGAATTCACCGTAGTATAATTGGTAGGATATACTGTAATATGATAAAATCAGCACAATGTACATTTCTACACCACTTATTCCATCAGTACAATGACAGAATCAGGCTTCTTCTTATATGTTATTGTATACTGTATGTTGTATGTGTAGACAAAGTCAGTTACTCTGCCGAGTGCCAGTCCATTAAACCTCTGTTCAGTCTCCCCTGCTCTTTGTCACCTCAGTTTTAATACTTAACATTCACATTATAGATATTTTAATTTGCTTAAATTTTGTTGTTTCTGTTGTCAGATAAGTATGAAATAGTAATTTGTTCATGACCCATAAAAATGACATGTTAGCAGCAATCATTCCCAAGCTGCTGCACTGGCCTGCTTCTCTGCTGCAAATCAACTTAAATACAGGTTAATGACAACAGCTGTGTGACTCGATATTCTGACATTTACAATGATGGATCACAGAGACAGTTGTCTTCTTAACTCTACATCATTTTTTATTTCTGTATTTTGTGGCACTACATTAACAATGTTCTTATAAATCTGACTAGATACCTGCAACCTTGTGTGTAACAGGTTCTTACCCACGTCTGTCGCTGAGCTTTAAGCTGAAGAGGAACATTGGCTATTTCATTCTGCAAACTTACATGCCCTCCACCCTGATCACCATCCTGTCCTGGGTCTCCTTCTGGATCAACTATGATGCCTCGGCTGCCAGAGTCGCATTAGGTCAGTGAGTTTTCAGTTCTTTACAGGTTAGCGATTATGTTTGCTGGTATGGTTTTTAGTCATTCTTTTATCATTGCTCTATATGGCAATGTTTGTCTGTTGGCCAGTCAGCTGGTTTACCACTTTGATTCAGACTAAAATATCTCATAAATGTTTCTATGGATTTCCATGAGATTTTTTTTTTTTTTACAAAGCTCCATATTCCCCAGGTGATGAATCCAGATGATTTTGGTTATCCTCTGACTTTTACTCTAGCATCATCATCAGGTCAGATTTTTAAAAAAAATTGTCCTAAACCTTGGTTTGTGAGCAAATATCTGCAAAAACCAATTGCATTCCCGTCAGCCTGAGTTGGACTTCGTCTTTCACAATAATTAACAAATGTTGGTGAACATGGTAAACTGTATACCTACCTTACATCAGCATTTTAGCACTATGATTATGAGCATATTATCATGCCAACATTTAGTTTAAAAGCATTTAACATGCAGCTGAAAGCACTGCTGTGTTTAAGTACAGCCTGGTTCTAGACTCTTTGTCTTGTTATTCAAGAGGGAAGTCAAGATAGGAAATTGTTATTTCCAATAGCAATTTGGCTTCTTTAAAAGGAGATGACACTCCACAACAGTGTTCAATATTAACTGCTAAAAATTCCATCTGCCCCTTATAATTTTTTACCAAACATGCTATTCATTCAGTCTGCTCATTTGTTTTTACTGTGCATGTCTAATGAAATTAACTCTAATGAGAAACAGTGGATCAGCTCTTAAGGAATAAACATCTGCTTCCCCACATTACAGCTAGTGAAAAGACCAACATCTTCTGCAAGACCTTTGCTAAGAAGTGTAGATTTCCTGATGCACACATACAATCATAGCACCCATGCCCATTATGCCCATTACTGTCATTTCTATCAGCAATGTTTACGTCACACAAAAAGATGTCGGGAACATCTTGCGCAACCTGGATCCAGGAAAAACATCAGGACCTGAATAATTCCAACAGGAGTCCTCAAGGAGTGCTGTCCTGTCCCCTGTTGTGGAAATTCTCTGCTGCTGGTGAATAATGAAATAGAGACTTCTGCCAGCCGACAAGGTTTTTTATTTTCTTTGCAAAGAAAAGGTCAATCAGCACACAAGCGGTCAGAATGAAGAAAGACCCTGGGCATGGGGAAGCTTAAACATTTATACCTGAGGACCGCCTCTTACGGTGTGTTTCACACCCTTCTGTGTGCGGCAGGGAGCGGCGCCCCTACCCATTGTTTTCACACTCTTTCGTCTGCCGTAAGTATTGGCTCCGACCCCCTAGGGTGTGTTTCACACCTGGCGTATCCTGCAGGATTTTGTATCTAGGTGGGAGGTTAAGAGGTCTAGACATCTGAAGTATTTTAAAACATAAAGATACACAAAGAAAATGAAATTACAATTACACCCCTCAGAAGTCTCTTTCAACTCCTTTTACCCCACAGCATGTTCTCTGAACAATGGAAGACAGCCAGAGTGATCTCAATCCATAAAAGGGACTCAATAAAAATCCATCCAAGTACTGTCCCATATCCTTGCTCACTGTCATTATCAAAGTGATGGAATCCATTGTTCACAAACAACTACAGGGCTATCTCCTCTGCCCTTGCCTTATGTCGGGACCAGAGTTGGGTATAACGCGTTACAAAGTAACTTTTTACTTTTTCTTTCTTTTGCCGTCCCTCCTTCTAGTTATACTCTTTATGCCTGAACCCATTACGCCCTTAAACTCGGTTCCTGCGTAACCCTTTCTTTTCTTACGATCAAAATAATTTTAAACTTTTACGTTTTGCTCGACATGTCCAGGATTGTTTTGTCTGTCCTGAGGTTTCTTTCTTTTTGTATGTGCCTTCAGTAACATTATACCTAAAGCGACGAAGCCAGCTGATTGCAACAATTTTTCTACGCATTGATAATAGCTTTGATAATAATATCGAACAGCCGACGAGATTGTTTTCAACTTTATTATAACCATGTAGCCATAGCTGAATAGATGAGCTACTGTTCGACCTGCAACTCTATCATATATTCAGTGGATCCAGCGCTGCCAGACAAGTGCCAAAGCAGGGTTTTTTTTGCCAAACTATGTGAACCGACGTTTTAGGGCCACCTGAAGGACATCACAGTCAGGCTCAGCCGCTCCTCGACCACTGGATTCCAGACGGTTTCATTCTGCTGGGAAGCCCCGGGAGCTGTGAAGTGACAGTCTGGGGTCCTCTGAGAAACATCAGCCAGAGCCAACTCTGCTCAAAGTAGGCCAAATCCCCTGATGCAGCCGCTGTGTTGTTTTAAGAGTTGATGTCGAATAGGAGATTTAGTTATTCTGATCTTAATTTAGGTTTCGTTAGGTAAGTGGTTTTGTGCATCCCTGCGTCCCCAATTTATCTATAGTCACATACTTTTTCTCACTATCGCCAAACTAAATAACCGACAAAAGTGTTACTTCTTGTCTTAATCCATACATACTGTTGATTTTGTGTTATTTCATATCATCCTCATTTACTGTTTACTCAGTTGTTAAACATTTAGCCTAAATAAATCTTCCTTCATCGCCACGTCGTTGTCTGTGAATATTTCTTTTGAGCAGGAACTAAGATCGCTGTATAGAGAATTCATAATGCAGGTATTTAGATTGATTCATGATTGATAAGTGTGTTTCCGGAGTTATTAATTTGATTAGTCGCTTCCCTCCATAGGAGGGTGGTGCCCCTAAATTTATTACGAGCGCAAACATTTTCTAAAGGTACTGCTCCTACACTTATCTCCAATAAACAATTTAGATTAATTCCAAATCACAACACAGCTGACCTCCCCACAGTTTAGTCCCAGACGTGGAACAACATCCTTGACAAAAGCGATGAAGTGTGCATTGTTGCCAAGATATAAAAGGGGCATTTTACCAGGTCTGGTACAGTGGCCTTTGTGTATGGCTCATGTCAAAAGCATAACTGGACACATGGCTACAAAATTACCTTCAAGGAAAATCTGTTGTGCCGTCTGGTCAGTCTTTGTCACCATGCCCCATAAATGCATCAGTACCTCAGGGATCCATTCTTAGCCCATTGTTCTTCTCCATCTTCAAAGATGATGTTGTGGAACAGTGTTGGAGCAGCATGTTTCTCTACATGTGATCCACCATCTTTGCACCCATAACATCATCAAATGGGCCTGAGGAGGCAGCAAGCCTAAACAAACACCTGGAAAACATCAGAAATGCCTGGAAAGTCACTTCTGATGCCTGGAAGGTCACGAGTGTAAGGCAATGATCTTATCCATGGTGAGTCCATCTCACCCTGAACTCTTCTGTGGGAGCACTAAATTCAAGCTCAGTGAGGAGATGGAAGTTCTTCAACTGTGTATTGACAGGAGTCTCCAGTGGATAAGTCATCAGTCTAACATCTGCAAACTTGCTGGACAACATTTTGGAGCACTTCAGAAGTTGGCCAACAAGATTCTACAGACAGAGTCAACATCTACAAAACCCAGCTCAGGAGTATCATGGAGTACTCCTGCCTTGCATGGATGAATGCCTCACAAACCACTTTTGGGCAGCTAGGTATCATCCAGGAAAAGGCACTAAAGATCATTGGTGTGGATAAGTGCTATACCATAAATGCAATCACCAGACTGAGCCATCACAGAACATTTGCTGCAACAACTATTCAAGATGCATCCATGAAATCCATGAAATTGCTCAAAATTTCACATTATTGTACAATATGAACCATACTATCCTGTAAATCAGAGGGTAGTAATAATAATGATTGTAATCCACAGAGAGATGGTAATCTAGGGAGAAAGATTAAACAAACAGATACACATTGGCTGGGTTGTAGGGTGTTGTGTCATTTATGGTTCAGACACTGGGATGTGCCAATTCAAAGAAATGTGGAAGCACTGGAGATTAGGAGAGTGATATATCCTGATTAGCTAATGTAAAGACACCACAGGTAAAAAAGTGGGTGCAATTTGACTCATGTCATACCCAACCTTACTGTTGTCCTTAAAAGTCTACAGTCATGTCAGCAGCTCTATGAGCTAAAAACTTCCTGGGTATAAAATTACTTAGATCTTCCACATTGTTGGGCCTATAGAGAAAGTGCATTAGCCTTCCACCAGCCAAGCAGCTAACGTCCAGTTTAACCCTCTTATAACTTGAATGGGGATAAAATGATTTAATCACATGGCTCTTCTGGACTTTCAAAATGTTATCTGACCAATCCCAATAGTGAAACAAATTATTTTGCTGTGTTATGTTGCTAAAAACAATGGATCCACTGATTTACAGATGCGTCTTGCACATTGTTCTATGAGAACATTTTTTGAGGGGTCCAGTGGCATCATGTGACGGACCCAGAAGTTGTACTTCTGTGGTTTGGCCACTGTGTCAAATTGGCTCCAGCGTCCACTGCTGTTCTTGGGGGCACCCACGGACACAAAAAGTGCAGCTGAGGCTGATGGGAATGTCATTAGTTCTGCAGCAATTGAAATTTTGACCTGATGAAATTGCTACATGAAAAGTCAAATTCTTTCTCTAGGGGCCAGGTAGGTCAAGATGTTTCAGTCTGGGCCCACAACTAGTAAGGCTAAAAATAAGACTATAATTTTGTGTGCTATTTGATAAACACCTTCAGTAGAAACCAGTGGGCTTGAGGCTATGAGACCCAGACAGAGCAGGGAAGTCAGAAGGTTTTAAAACAGACACATTTTTGCTTTTGGTCTTTCCATTGGATTTGTTGACAACAAATACGAAAAATATAAAAAAAAATAATGGCAGCCTTATCCTCACAGTCCATGTTGTATCCCATTCCTAAATATATGGGTACCTTTTTAGGATCATGCTCTCGCATGAGCACACAGTCCACCGGGGGAACTATTGGCTTGTAAACACAGCCTGCCTTGTCTGAATGCTCATTTGCAAACACCCTCAGGGCAGAGTGTACTGAGCAAAAGCCCTCCAGGCAGACTCAATTCCCCTTGACAGTGTGATGGAGCTCTTAAGACTGTGGGTACATTGAAAAATCAACATTTTCACTTCACACGAGCCACAGTTGCAAGTGACACACCCAATATACATTATTCAGGAATGTTACAGTATTAACCAGTAGTTATACTTACTTATATATATATATGTCTGTGTGTGTGTGTGTGTGTGTGTGTGTGTGTGTGTGTGTGTACGAATTTTGATAAGCTCTGGTTCTGGTTTGAGATTCTTGAAACTTCGGTGTTACAATATGTAGCGAACCATGGAAGATCACATTGATTACCTGCAAGCATTTGTTCTGTTATTACAAAACATAAGCATGACCCAAATATTAATGATAAGACGACAACTTCTCCCTTGACTTCTCCATTGTTGCCTTCTCCATCCTCTCTTTCTAACCTGTAGAATATGTTACGTCCACTTCAGGTTGAGGAAAACCTGCTATTTTTTTGGTTACAGCTGGGAACCATCTTTCCAGATTCAGAACCAATCTATTTTTGGTCAAAATGCTCCAAATGGTTCAAAATTCCATGCCTGAAATAGAACGGAACCCATTCCATCTTGATTGATGGAAATTTTAGATTCCATTTTCACCTGGTGCTAACATGTGAACTGTATCTGGATCTGTTTGGAGAGGCTTTTGCCTCTTCTAAAGAATTAAGACAGAAAGAGCATTTCTTCTAAGAAAGAATTAAAGACTTACTGGATGGATTGCCATAAAATTTGGAGAATTATTCTTAATAACTTTGGTTTAATCTAGCGCCATCATCAGGTCAACATGCCAGACTTTTGGGAACTGTGTGGTGGACATTTTGTGAAAGATTATGGAGTACCAGATATTGCTTGTCACCACTCTGGGCTACTCTCCTCTAACCACATGGCCATCCTGCAGTCACATTATGATCATTAGTCTCCATTCTACAGCTTCTGTGTGAGCTGGCCTGCTGGAAGGGCCTGAGTTACTGAGGCGACAAAGGCATATCAAGTCAAATGCCCATCCATTCCACTGTTTATAATAGCCATTATTAGTCTTCCATTACTTGGGTTGTGTCTGTTTGTGAACCAGAGGTGAGTCAGAGTGCAGTACTGCCTCGTAATTACAACCACTTTGGTAGATTTTTCTAGAAATCTTTTGTCCTATGTGAAGCACAAGCCATCTGCAACAGTACTGTAAATTTGTGGAGTGGATGCAAAGGGGAAGGGAAACTTAATAATGTCCCAACCCAACTTTCATATCACTGATAGATACCTTTTCACTTATAAGTTATAACATATAATTGCATATGATTGCACACAACAAAGCAATACAGCTCAACTCCCATTTAAAGGATGACATTTTGAGGAACATGTTTTTTGCATTTTTTTCCCACAGTCATATGAAAAAATCAGTGTTGATTTTATTAATTTGTGTCCAATAGGAAGCATATTAGAGAAATTTTTCACACTCTTTTTTCTTGCATGCCTCAGTGGTGAACACAGAATCCAAAAATAGCAAACATTCTTGATGATTTAAAGTAAAGGAAGAACACACTACAAAAGCAAACTACAGTTTATCAAACATCCATTTACAACTCTCATACAATTCATGCATTATAATCCAAGTCTCATTTATCCAGTCGAACACTCAGTACATCTCAAATACAGGCATTTTCTCTGTAACCCTAGTATTTAAAACACTTCCGCATACAAGTAGCCACATAGGCAAGTGCTGTTCATGCATTCCATTGAGTTACTTTGACTAAACTAAGCTAAATGCATGCCTGACTTTCCATCCTTACCTGACTTGGCAAAACAACAAATTAATATGTTTACTTTAATCACTATATTTTTAAGATATGTATGTGTTTGCTTGCGTGCTTGCTTCAGAATATGTGACAATCACTACACAATGAAAAGTAACAAGACTAATGGCACAAACACAAAGTACAGCTAAGGCTGATAGAGATATAATTAGTTTTGCAGGTATTTGGTAATGAAACAAAATATATAGGTTGGGAGAGAGTTACTGCTCCTAGCGGTCAAGTTCAAGTATCTTGGGGTCTTGTTCACTAGTGAGGGTAAAATGGAACATAAGATGGACCGGCAGTTAGTCTGCAGTGATGCAGGCAATGCACTGGACCATTGTGGTGAAAGGGGAGCTGAGCCAGAAGGCAAAGCTCAGGATTTGTTGCTCCATCTATGTCCCAAATTGCATCTATGATCATGAGCTTTGGGTAGTGACTAAAAGAAGGAGATCTCAGATACCTGTGGCCGATATGAGTTTCCTATGTAGGGTGGCTGGACTCAGCCTTAGAGATAGGGTGAGGAGCTCAAACATTCACAGTGGAGCAACTGCTCCTTTGTGTCAAGAGCGCATCTGATCAGGAGGCCTCCTGAGAAGGCCCCGAGGTAGATCCAGAACATGCTAGAAGGATTATATATTTTGTCTAGCCTGGGAATGCCAACTGATCCCCCAGGAGCACATGGAAAGCATTGCAAGGGAGAGAGAAACCTGGAGTCCCTTGATCAGTCTGCCATCCCCGTGACCCAGCTCCAGATAAGAGGATGAAATAGGATGGGTGGATCGAAGAAAGTATGTTTTTGACCTGATGGTGGTGCTAGATAAAAAAAATGGATTATCAATGCATTACAATTCATCCTGAGGTAGAAATGTGTCTCTTCACTAGATTTCATGGAAATCCATCTGATAGTTGTCCAGTGGACATTTCAATCTGAACCACAAAAGGTCAACCTGGTGGTGGCACTAGATGAAAAGTCAGGATATCACCAAAGATACATCACCTAGGGACCCCGAATGTCTTTATAAAATGTCATGGTATTCTTTTTTCATATGAGTCAAGATATTAAAGTCTTGACCAATCCGCTGATCTGCTTATCTCCATAGCCACATGTATCCTCCTACTAAAACAAAACAAGAGAATGTCAGAGGGTTTGCAGTCCAGGACAGCTAGAAATGTTGGCAATGGAAATGATTACCAATCCTTTTTAACAGCCATGGCCTGCATATGAAGGCTGTTTTGTAATAAAGGAAAGCCCTTCTTCTTCTGTAGCTATGATGTTCTCTCAGAATGCAGTCTTATCAAAAGACCTCCTACTAACTGTCCCTTCCCTCTGCTTTTCTACAGGTATAACCACGGTGCTGACAATGACCACCATCAATACCCACCTTAGGGAGACTCTGCCCAAGATCCCCTACGTCAAGGCCATTGACATTTATCTCATGGGTTGCTTCGTCTTCGTCTTTCTGGCCTTGCTGGAGTACGCCTTTGTCAACTACATCTTCTTTGGTCGAGGTCCTCACCTACAGAAGAAGGTAGCAGAAAAGGCTGCCAAGTCCAACAACGAGAACAAGAGCAGACTGGAGAGCAACAAAGTGCAGGTGGGAAAGGGGCTTTGTGAAGTTTTCATACTGTGTGGTTTATGACATGGAGCCCAGAAACATCAACTTTATTCAGATTATGCAATTCCAGTTCTCTTTGACCCGATCAGTAAATTACCAGATATAAACATATCTGGTCATACAAGAGGTTCTTGCATGAGGCTTATTGAATGAGAGTTGTCTGAATGGCTACTGAACCTGGCAAATCAATAATCCACCACTATAGTGGGTGTCTTTTTATTTCTCACTTTTACAGTGCCCATTTAATCAGGCTTATTTTTGGTACTATTGTGAGTGTATGATTGAAACAGATTCACAGTGGTGTGAAAATGGCAGCTTAGTTTTAAGGTAACAATTTTCAGGTAACAGAAATCCAAAAACCAAAGAATCCTGCATACTATTAATCACTTGTTCTCACTTCAATAAAACACTTATTCAGTATTCTTTAAAGTAACTATGTTGTAGGACCTGTTGTCTGGCCCTGTCTATAGGCAAACTTGTTTATACTAGCTCCAATCAAAGGTAGAATGAAAAGGCTGCCTCCCAGGTGAAATGTAGAGTATGGATTTCAAGATGACCATGATGAAGGCCACAAGCTGAAATGTGTTGGTCTAACAACAAAGTTGTTCTGCAAACTAATAGGGCTGGACCTAGTTCTGTTCTGATATATGATCATTGGGTAGGTATTTTTGTTTTAAATTTTATGATTTGGATATTATAAATAATTATACATTGGGAAATATGAATTTCTGGCATTGTCCTGGATTCTTAGCCTACTATTATGAGCATTTATGTAGGTCTACAATGTACCCATCAAAAGAACAATGTCACAAAGAAATGTATAGATACATGGGACCTCATTCAACCAAACTGTACAAGGTTACAAATATGCAATAGTGTAGAATAACAGAATCTTTAAAAAAACCTGAAAGACATGTTGCTGCATACTGTCCATGTCAGCCAAGAATGGAGAAATGTCTAGCTAAGTCATACCCCAACATCCTTCTTGGCCAAATATTTGCTGTTGAGTACTCCCAGTGCTCCAGATCCCAGAAAGTGGTTTTCACGACAGCCCTCCAAACTACGAGTATTGCTGTTTGTCTAAATTGTCTAAAATTAAAAACAATTCCTGAAAAGGTCTTACCTGTATGGGGCAGTTCACGATGCAATGATCAATTCCATACATTTTCTCTCAATAGGGCGCTGCTTGTGAGGGACTCAGCCTTTGACTTTGCCATCTATTTGAGTTTTGGTTTCAAAATTAATTGAAGGAATTTTGATGACTTCCTCCCTCAGGTTGATGCTCATGGCAACATCCTCCTAACCAACTTAACCAGTGAGATGGGTGGAGCAGATATGATGGGAGCTCTCAACGACCCTCGGGCTACCATGTTCTCTTATGACAGTGCCAGCATACAATACCGCAAGCCCATGACCAGCCGAGACCTGTATGGACGACCAGCCATTGACCGGCCAATGGGCCACAAGAAGGGCCGCTTGCGGAGGAGGGCTTCGCAGCTCAAAGTCAAGATCCCCGACCTCACGGACGTCAACGCCATAGACAAGTGGTCCCGTGTCGTCTTCCCAATTGCATTCACCTTCTTCAACCTGGTCTACTGGCTTTACTATGTCCATTAGGGTGGCAGTAGCGGGCCTCTGTGGCAGCACTACTGCTAATGATTTGATAGAAAAGCTACCTAGGTCTTGTACAGCAATGAAAACGAAGGAGCGTTCAGTCCATTTGTATACATCCTGTTTTGGAATGAGTAGTACTGGATGTCTTTACAATGTAAATACAATTTAATATATAATATATAAATATATATATATAACAGAGGTATAATTTATTAAAAATCCTATCACTTTTGCTGTACTCATCCATACAAAATAGATATATAAAAATAATGGAATTTAAGACACAGTAAAGGTATGGTATTTCTAAGTTCAAACTTGCCAAAAAGACTTTGGTGACTCCAAAATTATGGGCAATGATCTTTCATTTGTTCTATATCTTTTTCTTACCTTCAGTTATCTCACTTTTTGCATGTGAATGGAACACAACTTTTTGTTTGCTTAAGACAAAAACAAGAGCAAAGGAAGCCCAGTGCAAAACAAGTAGGTAATTATAACAGTTTTTACATGATCTTGTGACTGAAGCTCATCCAGCTTATTAACAGAAGATGTCTGGTTGAATTCCACCGTAATAAGGTAGTCCTGATTTGATTTAAGCTCAGTGCTCTGATTGAGGTCATTTTTGTGGAGCCGGAGATGCATCGTGTTGAAATCCTTCTCTGAAAGCCATCTGTGAGCTAACAAACATGTCAGATTGCTTTTCATGACATGTTCTCTTTTTTTTGACAAGTTTCTTTTCAGTTCTGTAAAAAAAAAAAAAAAAAAAGAAAAAGCTTTGCATGGCTCTACTGAGCCACTGTATTATAATCATTATACTGTATGCTTTCGAACAATCATTGCATATAAGGTAAGTACAGGACAGATGTTAATTGGAACTCCAACTAATTTCTCAAAAACAAAATGTAGTCGAATTTGTATCTATGATATTCTCACAGTGTCTGTGAGCATGTACAATGTAATTTTCTTTAAAAGAAATCAGGTAAAGAATGACCAATGATGTCACCATGCTTTCAAAATCACATTTAAAATTTCAAGCCCTGATAAAACTCGCTGCTGGTGTTGAACATTTTGTGTTACAGACTATTATTAAACATTTTTGTCAGATACCTGAAAATATACTGTACATAACTGTTAGAAATACATAGAGGTTCATCCATCTCAATGTGTTAAATAATTACAGGGCGAGTTTGAGGTCACTGTTACTCTAATTTATTTTTCAGTGGATTGCCTTTCAGCTCATTATCAAGGGTTAGGGAACAGTTGTAAGACCCAAGTTCAAAATACATTTTTGAGGACAAACTAGTGGTGAGGACAGACAGAGTAGGTATGACCAACATCAAACAAAGTGTAATAGCTGGCCCAGTGTCCCTAGAAATTATTTCCATATTGGACAAATCCTCACAAATTATGTTCTGTGCCAATGCCAGAAGTTGAGCGTCCTTTACAGTATACACCAGTCAGCCAAAACATTAAAACCCCAGACAGGTGAAATGAATAACGATGATTATCTTGTTACAATGCAGTGTTCTGCTGGGTCCTAACCTAACCTAACCTTTATTTGCTTTTACCAAGCATTTTAGTTGCCTAACCATACCTACACCATAACAATAGTTTATTTGCCATAACCAAAGTCTCACCCTAATCTGGACCACACCATAGATGCCATGCACAGCAAAACGTTACCATCTTATGTGCTGAAAACTGTAAATGAAGAGGAGGGAGGTGCACAGCTTTCTTTTTCTCTGCAGCACTCAGGTCTCTTTTGCAAAATAGATCTTCATCTCAATGAGATTACCTGATTAAATAAAGGTCGTATAATGGCTGTTGACTGCACAAGAAAGGTACAAGCATTCTGGGCAGAAACTTATTCCAATGCTGGATGGAAGGCTTTTCTTCTCCCACTTAATCTGTGGCAATCCCAGTTGATGTCTAAGGTTGTGTGATGGAGACATTTCTTTCAGCTAAACAACTCTAACATCTACATGTGGGTGACAAATAAAAAGAAAAGCCTACATGCTGTTTGTTAGTGAAGCGCTCCTCCTCCAAAAAACTCAGGAACAGGTTTTGCACAGTTTGTCATGTAGATTCTCAAAGTCTGTAGAGCTTCACTGGAGGAATGAACATCATTCTTGCAGAACATATTCCTTCATTTGGAGACTGCTGTCCAACACTCTAAAATCTCCAATAGGTGTTTAGTTGACTGTGAATGCAGTAGAATATGACTCATGACATTTTCATCAAAGCATTTAGTGAGACCTCATGATCTGAATGGAAACATTATATTCTTCATGTTTGTCCAGTCTTTAATTCAGTTTTTTTTCTTGAATATATTTGTACATTTTTTGGCCACAAGCCTTTTTATAAGCTAAAGCAGGGCTACAGCATGGATTGTCTAAAAGAGACACGTGCATATACACTTGGTGACCAGAAAATTTGAAATCATTCAGAGTAAGCACAATGTTGGCACTCCTAATGTGAATTATCCATGGCCCTGTAGTGTGCCGGTGTTTAAGATAACCATGCTGACACCAGAGCTCTACATTACCAAGGCTGATGGATGGACCTGTGTTCTATGGAGCCTGCATTTGTGTTTTTTCCAAAGTTGTCAGTAGGATTTATTGCATGACTTGATGTGTTGTGATGAGGTCATCCCATCTAAATGTTCTCTGAATAGTTCCTGGACATTCTTTAGGCATTTTTGGATCAGAGAAACTTTTCCATAATTCTAATAAATAGTTCTAAGAACCCCACTTTTATCACATCCGCACCACAAGAACTAGGAACGATGGTAGTTCTTAGCATTTTTTGGGACTCTTTTAGCTCCTATTTCAGACAAGGTACTCTTCCATAACAAGATAAACTTTATATAATTGTATGGTGATTGGTTCAACCCTTGAGCCAGTGCAGCACTGGCAACTGCTATTTTTAAGAATCTGTTAGCTATGTAAACAACAGACAACACAAACAGCTCTTACCAGGAAAAACATAAAAGAAAGCATGAACAAATGGACCAACAGTGAAGTACAGGCTTCACTGACAGGGGGAAATCCAATGCAATTTAGACTCATCAAAACAAAATCTAAGAATCTTTGATAACATGACATAACATGATGTTGCTACACCAACCCTTGGCCGGCCGTTAGCGATTCCTCTCAGGGAGTCCCCAGAACTGTTTGGTCCAAAAATGCCTTTTGACATGCAGGGAAGCATTATTTTGTTGAAAATGTCTATCATGATTAATCCATTTTGCAGCCATGTTAAGGCCTTCCTATACTTTGGGTTCTGGTATCGAAGTGTCAATCTATGGGTAGTTAATACCTTCCAAACCATTATCAACTCACCCACAAGCATGTTCACTTACAACCTCATTTGGTTCATGACCTTGTGGTATTTAAGGACAGGGAAAGATCATGGTTAGAGTTAATACAAAGGGCATAGTTACTTAAAGTCACCCTAAACTCTACACCTAAGGCCATACTTCTTGCATGGCACTAGACGTCAAAATTAGGCTTAAATGATGAGGTACAAATTTGTCCAATTTGGACATCATTTCTTGGGATACTGAGCTCTTTTTAGCTACGAGACACTTTCAGCACTTTACCATTGATAGGAGAGGCACCCTGTGTGGCTGTCTGCTGTTACACCCCTATAGAGGTAGACTGTGTGTTTGTGTAATTCCTTGTTCTGGCCAGAGTCACTTTATATCTTACATATTCTTGGTAGACCTAAGGGTGTTGGCCTTGCTTCTTGCTTCGTCCTTCCATTGTTTCATTTTGAAGCTGCTGCTTGTTTAAAGCCCATAAACTATTCAGTCTTAGTGAAACATAATTTTGTCAGCTTTCTCTGTCATCTGCCCACTGTAAAGCAAACAAGGAATCAAAGTTACTGGCTTTGGTAGAGACATATGTAAATGGTAAAGGAGGGTTCACCTCTTCAGGTGTGGCAGGGTTTCTATTTTACTGATCACTGAGTGAGTTTGTACACTATGGGATGTGAACATGGATCATCAGCTGAGCTCTGTTAAAGTACAACTTGGGCCTTGTTTCCATAGCTTTGGCCACCCTTTCTATCAGTTATGCTAACAGTTTGCTCACTAAATTAATTGTTGAAATCTATGATAAGAAATATTGAAAAATATCAACTGGGTAGTTCCCAAAGTTAACCTCTGGAAATCTTAAGTCCTTCAAAAAGACTTCCCGCTTTCCCAGATTGGATAACTGATAGAAAGCATAGCTTAGACTACAAAATAAGAAAAGAAAAACAATAAATGATCAGATACAAAATTTATGTGGTTAAAGTAATACATTTTTTCTTCCACAAAGTTTCCCAGTTGATGACAAACTGTTACAGTGTAGTCACGGCAACTTGATGGTTAGGACAAGTGTGGACAGCTTGTCTTATCAGGGCTTTCAACAAAAAAAGCAGCAAAACCAGATAGGCTTCTACAGGACACAATAGTAGCAGTGTGCTCTTTCCTCATGGCTGAATATTGTGCCTTTACCAAGAATCTCAATATTTTCACAGGGTTTAACTTAACTTCTATCTAGTGAGTAGAATTTAAAACAAATCATCTTGTACTTTTTTTAGATTAAGAAGAACATGGAGAACCAAAAACAGAAGTGGACTATTTAAGATCTTTTCTGAGGCTCTAAAGTACAGTACCATTATCTAAGCGTAGATTGTAGTAGTAAGACATTCCAGCATTACGATGACAATCTTTTGAATTTAATGCTGAAAAAAATCTCCTGCGAGGCTGGTCTCCATGCTGCCAGTGTTGCTGTTTTTAGAGTGGACGGACAGGAGGTGGAAAAAAAGAAAACAACAAAACAAAAAAACAGCTTGGCTTTCTTCACAACAAAGGACCCGGAGCAGATGGACACATGTTTTCTGTGAACGGACGAGCTAATGGAGGCCCTGAACAACTGGTTTGCCCACAGGCCGTGGAGAGGGAGGACATGTGCTAGACTCTTATTGTGTAAAATTACTGTACAATTTTTCTCTCATGCTCTATATGTGCTCTCAAGTGGAATGGGGTGTGGGTGTGTTTGCCCGTGTGTCTTTCTGCTTGTTTACAGGCAGATATAAGACACTGTGCAGGAATGGTTGTGTGGATGTGTGTGTGTGTGTGAGTATGAGCATATGGATGCGTGTGAGAGGGACAAAACATGACACACGACATACAAATTCTTTGTGTCAACTTATAGAGACTTCAAAGAATAGAGTTTAAATAAAATTGCTGACATCTCTACCAACCACAGTGTATTTTTGCTGGCTTATCAGAAACTAATAAGTATGTTTCAAGCATGTTTGTTTTCACTGTTTAATAAACCCCAGAACTGATTAACACAACTAGGATGGGGGTTGGGTGATACAGTAATAGTGGCCCAACTGAACGATTTTGCCCCCAGGGCCCCTTAACAGGTTAATCCAGCCATATGAACCTCACACAAATAACATCAGGTCAGAATGTGCTCTGTATCTAACAAATAGAGGTTAACTGATTCACACTCAAAGTAAATGTAGACTCTTTTGAGACAGAAAAAATCATTTTACTTTGCTCCTACAACATTGTTACCAAATCATCGATATATTTGTGTTTTCTGAGATGTTGGTCATGCACAGGTAATTTGTCTGTAGGTATCATTCTTTCTATTGGATGTACACTTTTTTTGAGATTGTAGCATGTCATTTCATATGTGCTGAATCAGTTTAACCATCAATCAGTTTTGTAGCGACTCACTGTTGTTTTTTTTAGTTATAGTGTATTTATTTTTTTACTTACACATAGTTGCTTTTACTGCCAGGATAATGGTATGAAAAGTGGTGATGTTTTTTCTACAGAGACATCATTGCATTTACTGCCAGGATAGTATCTTGGAGAGCAGTATTTTTTTTTTACCAAGACATCGTTGCATTTACTGTCAGGATAGTGGCATGACAAGCTGTATTTTTTACTGAGACATGGCTGCTTTTACTGCCAGGTTAGTGGCATTAAAAGCAATTGTTTTTTACCAAGACATTGCTGCATTTACTGGCAGAATAGTGACATGAAAAGTTGTTCTTTTTTTATGGAGATATCCCTGCTTTTACCGCCAGAATAGTGGTCTGAAAAGTTTTTTATTTTTTTACCAAGACACCCCTGATTTTATTGTCAGGATAGTGGCATGAAAAGCAGCACTTTTTTTCTGAGACAGCGCTACACTTACTGCAAGGAAGATGACATGAAAAGCAGTTGTGTTTTTTTTATCAAGACATCCCTGCTTTTACTGCCAGGACAACAGCATGAAAAGCTGTTGTTTTTTTACTGAGAGATCCAGTGTCAAATGTCCCACCAAAAACAGGTAATTTAAGCCAAAACCAAGTGCTTTTTGTGCCTAAACCTAACCACATGTTAACCACAGCCATAAATATAGTTTCCCCATATATTCGCTACATAATAATGTGTAAATGTGATGTATCCATGGTTTGCAGACATTTTGTCTGCATTTTTTCTGATGGCTGGATTGCTAGTTGCAGTTTTTGTGAAATTTAGTTTTCAACGCAAATTTCAAAAGAACTGCATGTGGCACTGTTGTCATTTTATTTCATTTATTTGATATGGATAAAAAAAAATGTAACATGCACCAACATTTTCCAAAGCATGCTGTAGTGTTGTAGATTATTCAAGACTACTACCTTCCAGTCAACCATTGTTGTCAGTTGATTTCACAGCGGTACAGTAGGGAAATCAACTTACAGACACTTGAAATATGCTTGAGTTATGTATCTACACACAGCAGTGACAGTTCTATTAGTTCTGGTACAGTTCTATTATAACTGTAGGGGCAATATTTTTGACAATGATTCATTTTCTACATTTTATGGTGGTTACAATCAACTATAAACAACAAGGTCTCATGGCCAAATGATAAAATTCTAAGTGTCTTTAAAAACTCCATATCCATTGTTTTCATCTTACTTGTGCGTGCACTAGAGTATATTTTAAAAAGATAACACAATGTGCCATAGCCAGCCATTTGAAATTCTCATAATGTACTTGTAGTTTTGGCTGACTAGAGTTCTGCTGGGAAAAGCATGTTACTGCTTGTTAAGCATAATGTAAGATCATCTCTCTGAAAACAGAAAAGTTCAACTCTAACAGCTCTGGTTCAGGCAGGCACTGAGTCAGCCTCTTCTCTATCCAGCTGTACACTGCAGATGTGAAGGACCATTGTCTTTATAGAGACTGAAGTTTCTGGAGTGAAACCGTGGCGGCTGGAGGAGAATGCCATTAGTCCAGTTAGCATGTCCGCGGCAAACAGCAGCAGCGCTCATTCTAAGGATTAACGTGAAGCTCCAGAGTGAAGACGAATGCCATTAGCACATTTAGCATGGCTGTGTCTGCTGGCAGTTGAGCCCATTCTCATTATTAATCAGACAGCCGGCTGTCTAATCGACTGAAAGGCCACAGCCTGGACACAAACGTCACCTCCACTTACTCAGAGCACACTGTGACCTCTCTTCCTTCTCTGAGCCTTAATTATTTTAGTTCTCATCTATTTCTCCTTTTTATCCTGAGTAAACGTTTCTGCCTTTGCTGCTCTTAGCAGAGAAAACCTCTCTTTAAAGAACAGGTTTACTTTTTTTCAAGTCTGTCTGACAACAATGCTGACATGCCCATATGAACATTGAAACACCTTTTGCTTGCTGTAATCTGCATGTTCATACTGGCCATTAAAACATCTCTTCCCCATGTGCTTCCAGTGTAAGTGATAGGGGAAAGAAATCTGTCGTCCTCATTCTGTGCAAAAATAAATTCTAGTTTATCTGTTGTATGTATGTATATACATATATATATATATATATATATATATATGTATATATATATATGTAGTATATACTAGTCCATACCCACTGAGTGCACAGTTGCCCACGTACAGTTTCACATAGTGTGTGTTTGGGATACAGGTAATAGGAAATTGCAGATTAAATAGTCAACTGAACCCATTAAGAAGAGCAATGTGTTCAGAAAGAGTTTTTGAAAAACGTGGGACAGACAGAATGACACACTGACAGTTTCTGTGATTATGTACAGCATACCATACCATGACTTAGTCATACCAAAAATTAGAGAAAAAAAACAACAACATTTGGCCACAGGGGGAGCCACAGTGATCGGTCACATTTTAGCTTTTAAGCATTTTTCTGTTGTTATAGCGCCACCCAGTTGCCAATTAGAGTTAAATTTCTCCAGTCACCTTGAGGCGTTCTTCATTTTGTTTGATGGGGTCAATAATGGAGGGGTCCCCTCAGATTATGTGTGGTCATATGCCTACAAAGTTGCGTGGTGATCGGTGAAACCCTTGAGATGTTATACACCTTAATGTGATGAGCCACGCCCTCCGCAACATTCAGAGTTTCATGCAGATCGGTCAAACTTCGTAGGGAGAGATAGATTTTAAGTGTTTTTCCAAAAATTCATAATGGCGGAAAATCTCTACAACAGGAAGTTATGGGTTCTTGAGGCAAATTTGTTCCTCATGAGGAGAGGCATCTCTGTGCAAAGTTTCATGTCTCTACGACATACGGGGCATGAGATATGCCCATTCAAAGTTTGCAATTTCAATCAGTTGCTGTAGCGCCCCCCTTTGGCCAATTTATGTAATATTGCTTCATTCGCATCCTCCCATGACCCTCTACAACTGTGCCAAATTTCACATGGATTGACCAAGTCAGTGAGGAGAAAAACATGGAACAGACACACAGACACACACACCCACAGACAGAGTTTTCGTCATTATATAGTAACATAAAATCAGTTATTATTAGGCTTCAGCCATCTGACTTATTCAATTAACTGAGGATCTTCAAAAAGCTTGTCTTTTTAGGAGAGATTCCCCTCTTTGTTTTTCTCTAGACAGTGGTATAAATTTGTCTAACTTTGTACCATACATGATGTTAGAAGCCTCATATTAACCTCAGATAAACTCTGATGAAACATCATCTGATTTACCTTCTGTTTGTTTGTTACATTGGCAGAGAACCTAACCACACATTATTTTAATAATTGTAACCCAGATGAAGGTGATATTTTACAGTTAAAATATAAATTTGTCAGTCATTGTTAGGTCTTTGGGCAAATGAACAACTGACCCCCATTTCTCCCACTGTGTATGCATTTGTTAGAAATAAGCAATTAGTTTGTGTTGACAGGATCTTTCAGTAGGCTAAATTGAATCATGCAAGCACAATATATGTAAGGAATAATACTCCTCTCTTTCTCTCCTCCATTTCTACACTGTTGTCTGTCAATTAAAGGTGAAGATGCCGCCCCAAAAAAGATTTTGGTGCACATCAGTTTAAAAGTTACTTCCACCAGTGCATGTAAACAGAAAAAAAAAATATTATGAGCCTTGCAGTAAGGCACAAGACTCTACAGAGGGTGGTGAAAATTGCTCACCACATCACCAGGATGGAGCTGCCATCCATGGAGGACCTCTACACCAAGAAGGCAGGAAAAAGGCCAACAGGATCATCAGAGACCCCAACCATCCCAGCCACAAACTGTTCTGCCTGCTGCCATCTGTTGGACAGTACTGCATCATACAGTCCCACACCACCAGGCTCAGGGACAGCGTTAGTCCACATGCCATTAGACTGTTAAACCCTTGAGCTCTTCACATCATCACTATTGTCACTTATGCATACAGAGATTAAGACTTGGAACTTTGAAGCACAGGATGTATCGTTGTTTCTGGTAACTTCCTGACCTTCCTGTAGTGCAATCAAGGGAATGCCCACTTGTACACAAGAAATATAAAAATCAGACTGCCATGAAATTCATGCTCCCCGTAGGTGAGCCATCATGTTTTGGGGACTTGAACTGTCCTCAAGCTCTAACCCTGTCCAAACTTTAACCTTTACAAATTAGGCTTCCTGATTTTTAATAGGCAGAGTAAAACTAAGTGAACTCATACAGGGTGAATTTTTTTGATTTGTCACTGATGTGGGGCTTTGTTGGGGTCGGGGAGCTACAAAAACTGTTAGAGAGCAGAAAATGAGAGCTAAAATCATGTAGTCTGAATAGGCATAAAGTTGCTACTGTAACTACAAAGATCAAAAAGGAGAGCTGCCACATTGTGCCAAAACTGCCAAATTTATGGAAACAATACTGAAGACGGCTTCATAGTTGTGCAGCAGACCCCATGCTGTAGCCTACACATGTTGCCTACTCTAGTGTCAGCTCATACTTGTGCTGGTGTCTGTGTCACTC